AGTCTAACAGCCTCAGGGTAGAAGCTGTTCCTCAGTCTAGTGGTTCTACACGTAATGCTCCTTAACCTCTTCCTGAGAGGAGCGGGGCAAAAAGTGTGGGTGCTGGGTGAGTGGGGTCTTTCATGATGCAGGTGGCTCTCTTCCTGCATCTGGAGGTGTAGATGTCTGTGATGGTTGGGAGACTGACTCCAACAGACTTCTTCTTTATCACATTCATACACCGATGGGACACACATCGGTGGCAATGAGGGGTTCAGTGTCTTGCCCAGGGACACATCGGCATGTGACTGCTTGTGGAATCGAACTCCCAACTCTTGCATTGGAGGACAACTGCTTTAACCACTCAGCCACAGCCGCCCTTCGGATACTCACTGTAAGGAAAAAAAAATCACTGTAATGCTGCTTTAATTGGTGATATGTGACTTGTCTGTACTGCTGATTATCCATGCTGCTGATCTCATGCTGCTGATTACCTCATGCTGTTGTGTTCATTCACACCCATCTGCTCACCACAGACTCATGTTTAAGCTGCTCTTGTTATGCCATATTGTGTTACATTATTGGTGTTTAGTGTATATCTTAGATCCTTGTGTATTTTTATACTTTAAATTTTTTCTTTTTTTGGGACCTTGAGTACATAATTTTGTTCCACCTCATGTACCGCGTGTGATGCGAATGACAATAAACTTGACTTGAACTTGAACTAATTCAGTCAGATTTACAAAGATGATGCTAGTGAGCCGTTCACAACACATTGTTTTCAAGGTTTGACCAAAAACGGCTTCAACTTTGTTCTTTTTTCAGCATCATATGATCTGAGTCTAGACTCTGTTTTGGTTGGCCGCGGGGGATATGCAAGCCTTTCAGGAATGCAAAGCATTTAATTTGTTTGACTTTTGATGTTTACAAAGTTGTGGCACTTCAGACCAGATTAACTAACTGTGAAAAACCTTGCCTTTGAAATCCTCCTTGTCTTTTATTCGTTTGTTAATGTTCACAGATTTCGTAACATCTGAGAGTAAGTCTGTTGGAAAACAAGGCTCAGATATTGGTCAACATCTTAAAATGGACTTGCTCCCCTGCTCTATTTCTGGTGCAGATACAACTTTAATCCTCGTAGTTGCTGCCAAGGAGCAGAATAGAATCAGAGTCAATCAGAAAACCTCCAGCTCTAATAAGTCTTTACCTGTTTGTGAATAAGATTCTGCCCCGAGGATTATATGTCAACGGTCACAGAGAGGCCAAGGAAGGAAAAGCTTGTTTTGCAGGGTGCCCAGAAGTCCATGTTTGGTCATTCAAATGTTAACACAGATGTGGGTGTTCTCTGTGCAGCTGTGTTCTTATGGAGTCTGGCAGACTTTCAGAGCACGTATCCAACAGGATGAGATGGGCTATCACTTAATTTTATGGTGCAGAGATAATCTGCTGTTTAACCCAACACCCCTCCTCCATATCCAAAGTTACTATCAATGGCATTGTTGGATAAATTCATAAAACTGTTTGTGAAAACTGGTTCCTCTTGTAAATGCATCCACTGCTCTCCTTTAATAGAATATTGAAAATATTATTTTAGAATAAATAAAATGAGATATAACAAATAAACAACAAGCTGACGAGTGGGTTTTTGGATTCGTGCACGACACAATCAATCAACCTTTATTTATACAGGTAAATCCCATTGAGCCTCGAGGACTCATTTACAAGAGAGACCTGATTTCAACAAAGAAAGATGACAACAATGGACAACAGCAACAACCATAAACAGTTATAAAAAAAGCATACTACAGTTTTTTTGTTTTTTTTTAATAACAAAAAGGATGGCTAAAAGGAAAAGGTAACAAAACAAAAAACAGCTAGATTCCAAGACAAATGTATAAAACTAAAAACAGGAACATGTCTGCATTGGACCCTGCCAGGTGTCCAACAGATTCTTAAAGCCACTTAGAGAGGTCAAGGTCGAGAGCTTCAAATCTTTTTGTAAGATATTCCAGGAAACAGGAGCGGAGTAGGAGAAGGCCCTTTTGCCTAGTTCAGTCCTCACTGAGGGAACACTGCAGGTAATAATGTCCTGAGAGCGCACGCTGTAGCTGCACTCACGCAGAGACATGTAGGAGGAGATGTATGAAGGCAACAGACCAAGAAGTGATTTAAAGATGAAAATGTACCAGTGGGAGAGTCTGTGTGAAGTTAATGATGTCCAGTTAACCAGTGAATACAGGGTGCAGTGGTGGGTACGATAATCACAGCCAGTTATGAATCTTAGTGCACCATGATAGACAGCATCCAACATCTGCAGGGTTCTTGTAGGAGCGTTCATGTAAATAATGTCACCATAATCAATTGAGGGAAGGAAAGTCACAGATACAAGGCGTTTCCTAGCATTCAGGGTTAGACAGGATCTGTTTCTGAAAAAGAAACCCAGTTTAACTTTCAGTTTCTTTACCAAGTTTTCCACATGGAGCTTAAAAGAAAGATGTGAGTCGACCAAGATACCCAAATATTTATAGGAATCAACAAACTCAATGAGGAATGGTTGAAATGATTTATTGAACAATTGCCACTGGTGGAGGTCTGGTTCCGGGTATGAGTCTAATCTCCACAGTCAAGAACAAAGGGTAATCCTTATGATGTTTGAAGAGGGTGACGTCAAAAGAGGGTGATGTCAATGGCTGTGAGCAGGCAGTAGCAGAGAGCGGCAATGCAGAGCACTGATTTTGGATTTGTCCAGGGGCGAGGTCCAGTGAAACAGGCTTGGGTCGAGAACCATTGGGCAGAGATCAGAATCCAAATCCAATGGGTGATCCAAAAGGCATAGTCATGACAATCATAAGCTGGGTCGGTACCGTGGTCAGAAGTCAGAGTCCAGAACAGGCAAGGGTTAGGCAAGGCGAGGAAACCAGGAGACAGGTGTGGGGTCAAACCAGGAGAGAGAGGCAAGGCTATGTCATGAACGCTGGACATCTACGATCACGCTGCAATTTTATAATGGAAGTGAATGACAGAAGCTTAAGTAGTGAGGAAGCAGGTGTGTGGAATCAGGGCTGATTGCTGTGGAGGAACGATTGGGCATGGTGAAGAATGGCAGGAGCAAATCGTGAAGCAGGATAAACAAAACATGAAGTAATGGTCTATGGCAGAGAAACACAGGAGCTGTGGATTGAGGTGGCAGAAACTGTGGCAGGTAGGGGCAGAAACACGACACAAGCACCAGTTCGGCTACTTCTGTCAGTAAAGTAAGAACATCTTTACTACTTTACTGTAGTACAAATATTCAGTATGGCAGAAATTGGGTTTCTACGATCTTTTAAAGGGGAGTTCTGTAAAAAAACAACTAATGTCTTTCATGTTGTAGGTAGCTCTTTGAATGGCTTCGGTTTGAAGAAAAAGTGTTGTAATCTCAATCATCCAGGTAGAGAACAACAAAATAGGTTAAATTGTGTTATCTGGACCCGTTTCTTTAAGTGAGAAACGTTGCGTCCTCCATCCAGAAGACTTCCTCAGTCTTTAGTCTGCCAACCAGATTTGTCCCATAGGTAGCCTTCACTGCTGTGTTTCAAGCCAACCTTCTGTTGGAATCTCAAAAGTAGGCTTTGTGTAGAGGCAGGGCAGCCGGCTTGGGACCCGAAAGTCCCAGGTTCGATCCCCAGTCACTGCACATCACGTGGTGTCTCTGGGCAGCACACCTCATCCCCAAAATGCCCCCCGGACGCTTTCAATAGCTGCCCACTGCACCACCTGGTGGTGGATGGGTTAAATGCAGAGACTAATTTTGCCATTGTATGGAAACATACAGTGCTGACATTGTGATGACATTATTATTATTATTATTATTATTATTATTATTATTATTATTATTATTATTATTATTATTA